GTTGCGACAAAGAAATGGAATGGACTAGACATTTGAGATGAGACATTTTGCGAGATCTACAGTGTCAATTCAATCAAGCTTATTCTCCACTGTCACATTGTCCACTGTCTTTGATCTCGTGCACCGAACCCCAAGATGCACCCAAGAGTCTCAGATGCAACGCCCGTATCAATTGAAAGAGTGTTTGTGCGCCCGCAATTGACTTGATTACGGTGACACAAGATGCAACGCAGACACAGTCACAGTCACATTCACAAGCCTTGTTGTCGCTGTCGCTGTTGCACCCGCCAAGGCCATTCTGGAGGGTTCCCCAACTTCTCCACCGAATAACCTCTAGCTAAGCGCTGTACCTTATCGGCCATGACGCGAAAGAACAGAACAGAACAGAACGTCTGACGCAAGAAATCAGGTATTAATCCACCGAAATGCGACTAAATAACAGGAAATTAACCTGGTATGAAGCACAAGCACCCACTGTCAAAGTTAAAGTGCGTATAGCGAGAAAAGACGGCTGTTGAACAAGGGCGATCGAGGTTTAGCGTCAGCACCCTCCATTACGACAGCCTAGACCCTTGGGCCTTGGCTTTTCCCCGCCTAGACTGCCCGCCCTTTGGGAACGAAACAGTCACCAACCTTCCAGCTCCGCCTCCATTTCAGCTCGTTTCATTTCGTTTCGTTCCATTTCATCCTCGTCGCCTCCCCAGACACAAAAAAGGGCTGACGGTCCCTTTCCTCTCTCCTCCTCCGTCAATATCTTCGCCGTCTACGTCTCGACCATCGATTACCCTCCGATACGAGCGTACCCTCCGAATCGCCATGTCCTCCACTACGACAGCCGCAGCAGCGACTGCCACGGGCGCGCATCCCCAGGGCGGCATCATCGAAGGCCTCAACCCGATCCACTACAACCCCAAAGACCCCATCGCGCTCTTCATCATACAGGCCTTCATTATCATATTCTTCTGCCGCCTGCTCCAATGGCCGCTCTCCAAGTTCGGCCAGCCGCGTGTCATCGCAGAAGTCATCGGCGGCATCGTCCTCGGCCCCTCCGTCATGATGCGCATCCCCGGCTTCAAGGAGAACATCTTCCCCACCGAGTCCATGCCCGTCCTCACCAACGTCGCTACAATCGGTCTCCTGCTCTTCCTCTTCCTCGTCGGTCTCGAAGTCGATACGCGCATGTTCAAGTCCAATTGGCGCGTCGCTGTCAGCGTTGGCCTGGCTAGTATGATGCTGCCCTTTGGTCTTGGTGTTGCGGTCGCTTGGGGCTTGTACGAGGAA